GAAAAAACGCTTCTTTTATACCCTTTTTGGGTTCGTCTTGTCCACCAATCAGAGACGTTTTATTTGTCGCGTTTCACATTGTATACGTGACGCTGGGACCCCCAAACAGTCAGGGTACGATGTATATCTAATGGTAACGGTGATGATGTATCGCGGTATCTACTATATACAGTTTACATCACCGTCGTTGCCCGCTGACGGAACCGACGAAAATGTAAACCGATATCTTAGTATCTTAGTACTAAGTAAACTATAGATTAATTTTTGTTCGAGGCTAAAATTTCAACAGAGACGATCAGAGTTGCCGGACAATTATGAACGAGAGCGAGTCCGAAAATCGAGCCGATATCATAGGCAGCGGTCTCGGAGTTCACGGGAAATGGAGAAACGTAGGGACTCGGTTACGGGGCCACAGCCATCCACCCACAGGAACCGATCTAGAGAAGGACGATCGGACGGAGGAAGAAGCTCGAGTATGGGTGACGGTACCTCGGGGATTGGTAGTAAGATATTGTCACGATGAACAAGGGCATTCCGCGGTCGGAACATTATTGGTTCAAGGGGATGAGAAGGTTCGTCATAAAGTATGTTAAAGCGTGCCTAAATTGTTTATATTATAAGAATCCCGGTGGGAAAAAGCCAGGATTATTACATCCAATAGAAAAAATAGCTGTGCCATTCCACACCGTGCATCTTAACCACGTCGAGCCTTTTGTTCGTAGTCAAAAAAAGAATACCCAGGTTTTAACGGTCATTGATGGATTCACTAAATTTTGTATACTTGAGCCTGTTCGTGACACTTCATCCAAGAACGTCTTACGCGTGCTGAGTCAAGTAATCGCAATTTTTGGGGTACCGTCTCGCGTCATTACAGGGGGTCGGCTTTCACCGCAAAATCGTTCGAAGCTTTTTGCGTTGAACATGGCATGAAACATGTATTGAATGCGGTGGCTACACCACGGGCAAATGGGCAGTGCGAGAGGCTGAACCGTACTCTGCTGAGTTCTCTTGCAGCTACTTGTGCTGGGGAAGCAGAGAATAAAGTGGGACGATAAGGTGAAGCAGGTACAAAGCGCTATTAATTGTAGTACCGAATATTTTTACGACGTTACATTTTGTCACAATCTTGTTTATCGCTTATTATGCAAAAGAACATGTGCAATAAATAAACAAAATTTATGTTTCTACTTACTTGAAGAAGTGCTTTATTATATGAGAAAACAATTGATTCTCAATAATACTATCATAAACAATAAAAGGGAGCAATAATTCTTCTAATAATATCGTGTCCGAATATTAGTGCGAGTCACTCTATATGATCGTTGGGATATTGGGTCGCTGGGATATTCGGTCGTTAGGATATTCGGACGCTGGCATATTCGGTCGTCGAGAATTGAACTGAACCAAAGCTCAGATTTTCCTAGAAAATTCTGTCGCATATGAGCCGTTTATTTTGAAATTGGCATAAGTCACTTTGTTTTTAAGTCGATATATTTAAGGGTTTGCGTTTTAACACGTTTAAAAATATGGATGCTAACTTTCGAGAAGATTTACTTGTATTTGTTATCTCAGGATACTGATATTTTTCTCAGTATAAATAATTTCGTATAAACATTAAAAAATCACCACTTTTCATCACGGTAAAGTGACTTATGCCACTTTCAAAATAAACGGCTCATATATCGTCGCGAGTTTCGTTGCCCATACCCGTACGAGACGCGTCACAGATGTCATCGTGATTTTCGTCACACCTTTCGTGACGATTTTCATCGCAAATTCGTTGTATCGGCTAAGATTAACTTTCTTGAGAATTCGTCGCATATATTTCGGAGGATTTAATCGTGGGCTTCGGTTACTGTGCTCAGGTGGATTTTCGGCTGACCGTTGCAAAAATTTTCCGTGAAATCTAAGAAGGAAAGAATCAGTCGTGACAACAAAGATCGCTACGTGATACGTCGTAGTCCTTTCTTTATTCAGCCTAATCTATTTTCACATTGTCTTGCGATTGAATTTAATCGAATTTCGTGCTAGCGTTACAGAACTTGAAATCACATGCGGGGCAGAGATCAAGAAGCGACGCGGTCATAATCAGCACACAAAGCATCTATAATTTATAGCACATAATCTATTTTTACATTTAATTGCGATTGGGTTTAATCGAATTTTTTCCTATAATTACAGATCTGGAGACTACGTGGATAGTTTGCGTGGATGGCTGAGATAAAGAGGTAACGAGTTGAGCTTCGTCAAGGAGGAAGGGATGTAAGTATAATCTTCGTCAATATGCAAATTGTATGCAATTGTTCGTAGAAATTTAATGAACGATGTTCAATGTATTTTAACTGCTTCGCTCCCATGGGCGTATTATCTCAAGGCTAGGACATGGTTACGTCGAGTTGGTTGCAAAAAAAACGTACATATGCATATATAGTAATGTCTCTCGAAATGACGTAATTTTGATCTATCATCACTGACGCCGTGATATTGTTACGGCCCTGTAATTTATCGATTTTCTCGCTACGCCGTGGCTTCTTTGAGTCACAATACAATGACATAACTTTCTTTAATTTTAACATTTTTTAACTGATTTTTTTTGTAACATATTGCTGACAGTTCTCTGATTAAAATGAGACCAAACACGATATAGTTTTGACAAATATTTTTGATTAAAATAAAATCAAACACGATGTAATTTTGATTACATTTATTTACTTAATACTTAATATGTAAATTCATTTGATTCTATTATCGCCGTGATTATATAAGTAAAATTCATTCTTATATATATATTAATAATAACTGTACATTAAAAAGCTGCATTGTGCATAATTAGATAAGTGTATTGGATTATTTTCTCTCTTTTGAATACTCAGAAGTTTTTCCTTCTAGCATATAAGTTACAAAAACGAATCGACGCCGAGAGTCTCACCAGAGTACCATTAGATAAACAATGATTTCATATGTATATAGAACAGAGTGCTCTTTGTCTTTAGGTGACGTTTTTGGTTTCGTCTTTGTGAATAGTCTTCAGTCTCCTGGAGCAATCAGGAGAGTAAAGACGGTCCTTCCTCGTACATCAAATTAATAAACTAAAAGGGATAAGTTTAATTCACTGCGTTTTACTTTTATTTATCTACCCATTTCCAATAAAGTGCAAAGTTATATTCTACGTTAAATTGTTTTGTTGTGTATCATTCTTGGAATTGTCTAGTATAGCCAAATAAAACAAATTCCAGTCTAGACCGCGGAATGGTCATGTACGATTCTTTATTTGATTCTTTATCTGTTTTCTATATAGGCTATTATCTCATGTTTACGTGCAGTTTTGCTGAATAGAACCATCGAGGCAAATTGACTTTTACTTTGGTAATTGTTTCATTGCTTTATGTAGAAGCAATAAAAGGTAGAAACAATTCGAACTAGAGTGACGAGTTGACTCTTGTTCTCACAGTTCTCGCTTCGGTTTCAACCTTTCGTCACCACATCTGCAACTATCTGTAACTATAGTTGCGCTATCGGCGCTGAATTTCGAGGACCTCGTATCTAAACAGTATCGTTCTTCCTCAATATTCGACCTCTTAAAATTCCAGGGTTCATGAAAAAAGTACAGAAAACTGTTCCTTCACACTCTCCGTCAAACGCGTAAGGCTCGTCCTCAGACTGTAGTCGAACCGAGCCATGTCTTATCCTACCGACGTCTAACCAAACCATGGTTTCTTCTTACCATCATCTAACTCAACCATAGTCTCTTCTTACCATCATCTAACTCAACCATAGTCTCTTCTTACCATCATCTATCTCAACCATAGTCTCTTTCTACCGTCGAACGTAAGCTCGAATAGCATAACTTCGCTGATATTTTCTTTCGAATGACATATGAGCCGTTTATTTTGAAAGTGGCATAAGTCACTTTGTTTTTAAGTCGATATATTTAAGGGTTTGCGTTTTAACACGTTTAAAAATATGGATGCTAACTTTCGAGAAGATTTACTTGTATTTGCTATCTCAGGATACTGATATTTTTCTCAGTATAAATAATTTCGTATAAACATTAAAAAATCACCACTTTTCATTACGGTAAAGTGACTTAAGCCACTTTCAAAATAAATAGTTTAGAAAATTGACTGACATATATTAATTTTGTCCGACGTATTTTACTGAAGTGATGTTTTGAAAGGACCGTGATTGACTAAAATTGTTGAATAAATTACATATAAATAATAATTTATACCATGAACATATTTAATATAAAGATTTGATTTAAAGTATT